CCCCCCCCCCCGGGTGGTGCAAAAAGATCATTGTGACCACATTGTGTCTAGAGAAATATATGCAACAAAAGTCTACATTTCACATGCAGAACGTATGCCTAGTAAACCAGGGATTTGTTTCACTCACTGTATAAAGAAACAGTTTATAAAATACTGCTATTTCAAAATGCGTTGGTTGATGGTACGAAGGTCTTGTTGCATATGGGGCCGCGGAGCACCCTAAGGGGGGGGGGGGGCATTTCAGTAGTATAGGGAATGGGGGTATCAGCGCAGTTGACCACCCGAGGATTACCCGCGTCAAGTTAGGGTAGTACGGGTATTATCCGCGTTAAGTACTGGTCCAAGTGAAGATATTTGTGTCTATATATAGAGTGCGAAGAATGTAAAGAATTCAGCCCAATTTACGACTTTTGTGTGAAATGTCTTAAGCCCCGCTTTAAGCCCACCAAGCCAAATAAGTACGTCTGTTGTGGTAAAAAAATGCGAATAGAAGAGGATACGTCAGCGCAGTGTTACGAATGCGGCAAAAATATCACAAACGCCGTACCAAATGCTACCAGAGAGCAATATTACGCCAATGAAGGCCGTAAGAAAACACCTTATAAGAGAATAAAATACTTTAGGGACTGGATGAGTCACATCCAAGGTTATCGCCCCGTGTACCTTGACAACGAAGTAATGGAAATGATTGCGCTTAACTTAAAAGGACCAACCCCGCAAAGCTTAAGGAAGACATTGAAAAAATTAAAGCTAGGGAAATATTACATAGGTATTCCCTACCTTTTGTCTGAAATTACCGGTGACTCTATTCCCGAGGTTTCTGAAGATACTATGAGAAGGGCCGAGTGGATGTTTTGTCGGCTGGATAAGGATATTCCTTATTACCTCGACGTAATTTACGAAATATTTTACAAAGTCTACCCCAACCACCCCCTGTTAGGATGGATTCCGAGACGACTGACGCAGTAAAAACTACTTTATTGGGAAAGTTGTTCACAATGAAAGACGTGGTTACGTTGCGACATTAGACATCAACATTCCATTCCCTCATAGCAGCCGGCGTTTTCCGAGCACACGACCAAAACCCGAGCACACGATCAAAACCCGAGCACACGACTAATACCCGAGCACACGACCAAAACCCGAACAAAATATAAAAAGCCGAAGTAAGTTGGGAATGTAAACAACCTTGGCGAGAAACTAATTACGCATATGAACCAGACAGCCGGCGTTCAATATGCAAATGAAATCCTGCTCGCTTTTTTTCAAAGCAAATATTTACTGAGCGAGCTTTCTTTGAAGCTCCTCTTTTGCTTCTTGGAATATCTTTTTCCGTGTCTCTTCGGACAAATCTTTGACAATTGTTTTTTTATTTCTAATGTCGGACTTTAGCTTTTCGTATTTCTCCTCTTCGGCCAGGATAATCGAGAATTCTACGTCGTCTATCTTTCTGTCACGCAATGCCTTTGAAACAAGGTCAGTAATAGTATTTACTTTAGCCCTTGACAGAGCTATAGCTTTTTCATAATGCCCGTAGCAACAGCCGAAACAATACCACAAACTGCCCCAACACTAGCCAAAGGAACCCCTATGAGTACTCCGGGTCCAGTAAGCGAAGTAGCGGAGCCGGAGCCCGTCAACACGACGGATATGGACCCCGAAGTTATTGCGACCTTATACAGCGGGCTCTAACGTAATTCTTCCTAACTTTTTCGTAGTGTTTTGTCTGCCCCTTGAGGTAAGCCAGTATTAGATTTGCTTTATTAAGCCTAAAGTTTCAGCATTCATTTCGTTAGGTGTAGTATGATAATTGGGAATATCTGGGTACATTTTAGGTGCCGATGGTATAACATCCATTATATACTAATGTACGACGCTTTTGGTAATGACATTGAGGAGCAGCCACATCATGACAACCGCGACTATTGGAATTGGAGGGCCTTTAGGAAGATGTTTCCGCATGCAGACCCTACTAAGTTTGAGCGCAGACCCGATGGTATTTATTACCAAGGCTCTAGGATGTACAGCAATAAGGATTTGAGTCCTAAGCCTTTGCCACCTGCTAAGCCCAACTTTCCTGCGAATTTGATGGAGACTGCCCTTAGCTACCCATTTTATGACAACAAGGGCGGCGCGGATGAGTTTGCTAAGATGGTTACCTCCCTGGAAATTCCTGTGACYAATTYGACGACCTTCGCAGTGACGGTCAGAGATGTCTTTAGAGAAACTGCCATGAAACACACGACAGGAAAAGAATCTAGGAAATGGTTATCGGGTCCTAGTATGCAATATTGGCCACAGCAGTTACACTTTGCCGTCTGGGCTGCCACTAAGGGATGTGGTATAGCCGCGGATATGTTCCATATTCCTTTCCTAAGATTTCATGTTGCTTTTACCATTCGTAGGATATTGTTTGAGCTAGGCGCGCCGCTTCCGGGTGACACTGTCTTTGACCCCAAGGATAACAAATATGATAAAGTTGCATGGGAGCGATCAAGGAATGAGTTTAAGCTTACCAACCCTGACGCAACAAAGAGGGTGCCGCCCATGGTTTAGGAGAAACTTACACCTATGCCGGAGGTGCTAGTATCGAAACTCCGGGTATGGGATATCCTAGCTCCTACGAATTTTCCGACTTAGGAGGCAGCGGAACGAAGGGAAATCTAATCTACTACGTTCAAAGTCAAGAGAAGTATCCTTGGGCACCTTTCTTTGCCGCAAAGGGGTTGGGCCTAAAGAATCTCGCAAGGATTAACCGCAGCATCGAAGCCTTCGTGTATTGTATCTTAGGAGCGCAGGTTAGCACCCGCAGCCCCATTGTAGATGACAGTGGTGCGTCGCAGGAAATACAACAAGTATTCCTTGTCCTCTTCGAAAGCGCTGTTATTGAGAATGAGATCTCTAAATCAGTTCAAAGGTATCAACTTGCGGTGCAGCAATCTAAAGTGCGGTTAGATTATGCCTTGAGTCCTGGTTGTTGGTTAATGCCAAGTAATTTGGTTATCAACAACAATTCCGTTGTGGGTTATAACAACAAACTTCAACGAGCTAATAAGGATATGAAGTTTGGGGTGAATGACGTGAACTCCGACATGACCAAGGGCATTCCTCACTTCGTAGAGAAGCCAAAGAAGGTACACGCAGAAAAACCAATTCCTAAGCACACGACCCGAAAGCATGTTCCCACGTTACCAACCATACCTGAGGATGATCACGACCTACTAAAAGCCGGCTTAGCAGTTGCAAGCATGGGTCTGAGTTATCATATATGGCGATGAACAACCCCTACGTAGCTGGAGTAGATTGCGTTTATACGACTTACACAGGCGAAAAAAAATACACCCAGGCATCTTGGGTTGATGTCACGGGAATGTCTGTGGACTTGAACTACTCTGGGAAGAAGTTAATTTTATGCAGTCTTTTTTTGGGAGCCGTTAGTAATGCGAACATAGGATTTCCCTTTTGTGATGACAATGGAGTATTACAGCCCATGCGCGCGAAAACGAACAACAGAGAGCCTACGCATTTCTCAGTAGAGCCGCCAACGAATAGCGCTGAGAATCTTTCCGTTTGGACTTTTCACCTAGTTGCTGACTGCCATGGGAAAGTAAAGCTGCAAATACGCGTAGATGACACTGGGAGTGTTTGCATAAATAGCATAGAAAATCAAAGGGATACTATCTATAACCAAATGACCATTAGCACTCTTACGGTAGTTAGTACATGAATCCGTATGTAAGGGAAACACATTACGCCCATCGCGTAGATGAAGAGGGATATGACGATGTTTCTTGGCATGACGTTGGAATGTGGGTTGAAGTTGGGGGCACTGCATTGGTCATTTGCACTATTAGCATTAATGCAAATACGCATGCGAATGTGGGGTTTAGACTTATCGATGAAAATAATAAGCCTTTGCTTCCTTATCGAACTTCAACGAACACTAGGAAAGTTACCCGTTTTTCAATGGAGCCCTACACTAGGTCCCCTGAAGACCTAACGCCAGTGACTTTTCATATGCTAGCCAATTGTAAATATGCTAAGTTGCAAGTCACTTCTGATGACGGCAAGTTTGGGATAAATCGCATAGGTCGCAGGCCCGCTAATGCAGCCTGGAGTCATAAACCCATTTCTACCATGAGTGTGTTGCCGCTAGTTCCGAATTACCAGGGTGGCGCTAATACTGTCTTTCATTATCCCCAGTCGAGGATGCCCCGGATGCCCGATGAGAAGGACAAGATCAGCCCTTCATCTTCTTCAGGAGGACCATCCCGATAGCGACAACTAATATCCAAATGTTGTTGCCCACGAACTTCAACAGTTCCCCGCCGGCCGTAAGTGCCAATCCAACGACAGAACCCAACAGTCCGGGAATGCGGGCTGCCATCTTTTTATCTTTTTGCCAAACCAGAACCTAAGTTTTTTACACCTGCGCCCGTAGCCTTAAGCGCGGACAAGATGACTCCTACTACGCTGCTAATAGCAACTGCAAATGCCAGCGGAACGCCATACTTCACCAGGGCCCTTTTTACCTTTTCCTTGGTGGTAAGCCCTAGTTCCCGTTCCAGGTTGTCTTTTTGCCCCTGCAATTCCGCGACTCTCTCCTGTAGGGTTTCCAGTTCCCTTTGGGCAGCCGCCCTTTCCTCTTCGGGGCGAGTTTGGTCGGCAATTATTTCCTGTTGTTGCTCTATTTGTC